CAGTGCTGGGCACACACAGTGGGCCCTCTCTAAATGCCTTTTGACCATTTGGGCATGAAAACCAGATCACAGTAAGTGTGGACCTGGAAGCAATCCACAGCATTCCCAGGGAGACAGCCCCAAACCCCTCTCCCAGCTCACCCTGCACCATCCACAGTGTGAGTTCGGGCTGGAACTGGGCTCTCGTTCAGCCCATCTGCTTAGCATCTCTTTGGTTGCTTTTTCTCAGTTTCACATTAGAAAAAAAAAAAAAGGAGAAAGAAAAACCCTGAAAAATGCAAACAGCAAGGGGGCGGGGGAGGGGGAGTGAAGACCAGTTGCACCAGGCACCCAGTGCAGGCAGGGGTCTGGTTTGAGGAGGCTGGAGGCTCCCGCAGCCCTGGCAGTCCCTTCCTGGTGGGAGGGGCGACCAGCAGCTGTCCCGGCTGTGAGGGCCGGGATGAGGGGGCACTGTACCCAATCTGGTTTGGGTCTTGGAATTTAGCCTACTGTGCCGACCACAGGAGAAACACAACTATCGTCAGGGGGACCTTCGGTGAGTCCAATTTCCCACCCAATCTACCTATAAAAGAAATGAATCGTCCATCCCTGGCATTCTGTGACTCCCAAGCTAATCCACCATAGGGGTGCCACCCCTGCCCCAGGCCTTCGGGGCCAAGGGAACCAGGGGAGACCTGCCCCTGCGGCCCAGATGCTGGGAGTGGGGCAGGGGCGGTGCTGAGACCCGGGAGAGAACCTGGCCTCCACACTGGATGTCTCAGCCCTTGGCGTGCAGTAATAACCGGGGGGCGTTGGACGGTATCAGCGAAGCAGAGGCCTGATCCCACCCTGGACACGGACATCACAAGTGTGAGCCCAGGTCCATGCAGGTGAGACCCCACCTAAAACTGACTAGGAAGGAGGGAGCCTCAGGCATCTTTAAGAACGCATGTGTGAGGGCTTAATTTAGAAAAGCATCACCCAGAGAGAGAGTCTGCTGCGATGTAACATCCAAGCAAAAGCAGAGGAGCAGCTCTGGCTCCTCCGAGCACAGGCTCCTCCGACCTGATGTCCCTTACAGCCAACACAGCACGAACGTCTACCAGGTGCCACCCCAGCCAGGAGGCCCAGCGACCAGGATGGGGGCTGCCCTCAAGGAGATCCACGCAGGGAATTGTTGGGATAACCAGCAATGTGACTCGGTACGTGCAGTCACAAAAGGGACGCTCCCTCTGTGATGAGCAGGCCGGCGTGAGGCTTGTGGTTTTAACCGTATGAGTCAGTCTGCTTTGCCAAAGGACAAAAAATATCCCAGCCACAGACAGCCTAGTAACCGCAGCCACAGGCTAGGTCTGTGCCACAGAATAAGCCAAATAACAATCATCAAGAGACCGTTAAGTCCAAGCACACATGCGCACGCGCGCACACACACACACACACACACACACTGACCCCCAATACCAGCCACAGAAGGGTCTCAACCCCAATGTGAGTCCTCCGGGTGACCCCTCACATCTTCCTCTGAGTCCTCAGCTCTAACCTTGGCCTTGGGGCTTTGGACAGTACAGCTGCCCTCATAGGTTGCCACTCCGCTCTGAGGATGCCTGGAATCCCCATCAGGCCAGCCTTCCCTTACCCCTGGCCAGCCTGCCGGGCCCTGTGCTGGTCAGAACAGAGCAGGGTCAGGTACCCAGGGTACAGTCATAAATAATTTTTTGAATGAATCACTATGTTAACTAGTAAACTCTTCCTTGTGCTCCAGATTCGTGATCGGCTCCCTCCCTCCGATACCCACACATCCTCCTGGCTCTCCCCTTTCAACATTTCCCCTCACTCCTCAACACACCCCTGCCTGCTGTCCAGTTCTCCCTCCCCGGAACTGTTCTGAGTCACAGCAGCAATGCCACCAGGCCGCTGTGCGCTCGGCGTACACTTGGTCTCTCTGCAGCTCACATGGCTGCCCGCTCCTCCTTTGAGAAACGCTCCTCCATCCAGTCTCCAGCCTCCTCCACATCAGCCTTTGCCTGGGGGAGCCCCTCAGCGGCTCACTGACAACCCCACTGGGGTCTCAAGCATGTGCAACATAGCACTTAGAACTTGAACCCTCAGCCTCCCTTTTGGGTCCACCATCTCAGAGAATGGCTGTACTATTTATCAGCTCTTGCTCCAACCTGTCCCCACACCTTCCTATCTAATCAATATACCTCCTAGGAAATCAGAGATCTGATCACTCCCACAGACCCCTCCGAGACAGGCTACTGTCATTTCCTATACCCCCTCAGCACCGGGACTCCTTCACTGGCCTCCCAATCCCTACCCCACTTTCCGCTCTGTTCCTCCTACAAATTCTCCACCCAAGGGCCAGGGTGATTTTTCCAAAAGCTGCATCATCTAGCTAGTGCTCTGACTAAAATCTTCAATGATATCAGTGCCCTTAAGTTAGGATAAAGCCCAAAATCTTCACTTGATCTTAGCCAAAAGGCGAGAAGCTATGATAAAGCCCAAAATCTTTAACAAAACTTCTAAGGGTCGAGGTGGGCAGAATGGGCAGAGTAGGTGAAGGGGATAGAAGGTACAGGCTCCTAGTTATAGAATAAATAAATCACAGGGATAAAAGGCACAGCATAGGGGCATCTGGGTGGCTCTGTCTGTTAAGCATCTGACTTTGGCTCAGGTCATGATCTTGAGGTTCATGAGTTCGAGCCCTGCTTCAGGCTCTGTGCTGTCAGCCTGAAGCCCACTCTAGATCCCCCTCATCTCTGCCCCTCCCCCCACTCTCTCTTTCTCTCAGAAATAAATAAACATTAAAAAAACAGAAAGGCACAGCATAGGGAAGATAGGCAATGGTGCTGTGCCAGCGTGTGGTGACAGGCGGCAGCTACACTTGCGGTGGGCACCATGTAACATGTAGACCTGTCCAATCACTACGCTGTACACCTGATACTCGTGTAACATTATGTGTCAGCTACACTTCAACACACAAAAATGTTCTCAGATCAAATTTAAAAAAACAAAAAATAAAATAAAACTTGAAAGGGCCTGCCTCTCCATCCGTAACTGGATGCTTTGGCAATTCTGCCCTCTTTCCTGACCCAGGTCCCATCCCTCCTGGCCCAGGGCCCCTTCCCTCCCACCCCAGGCCCCTTCTCTCCTGCCCGAGGCCCCTTCCCTCTGCCCCAGGGTCTATCCCTCCTGGCCCAGCTCCCCCACCCCCACCCCCAATCCCTCCTGCTCCAGCCTCCTGCCCCTGGCCACTCAGAGCCTCCATCTCTCTGGCTGCAATGATTGGTTCAGAGATAGCCAGGTGACCTAGGCTAGGCCCTCGAGCTTCCTCCCCGGAACTTTTGTTAGAACTGCTGGGGGAAAGATACTCTTCTTTCCACTGAAGTTACTTAGCAGGTAGGAGTTACTGTCACCATCCTGCCACCACAGAGACAGAGCTTGACAAAGAATGAAACCAACACAGAAGAGAAATAGAAAGAGACAGATCCCAGATGCAGCCATGCCTGGAATCTAGAGTTGCCATTAGAAATAAAGAACTCCCTTTTATGCTTAAGCCAAAGTGAGTTTATGCTTCAGTCACTGGTACCCAGGAGTCCTGACTAATACAACATTCAAGCAAATACTGGGTGTTGAATGAATTAAATGAGTATGTGAGTAAGTGAAGTCTGCCAAGGGAACTCAGGGACTCCTCCTAGGACACCCTCAGGGTTCTCCCCGCAAACTCCTACCACCCACGAGCGCGGTGACAAGCATCCCACATCCACACTTGCAGACCGAGGGGCTGACACCCAGAACGGTGACGTGCTTCTCGGCATTACCCCTTGCAAACTGGCTGACACAGGCTGTCTGGCCGTCAGTGCCCCTCCAGGTGGAAAGCAGGGCTGTTCTCACGCAGCCCTGCGCCCCACCCACTCCTGAACCCCTAATCCAACCAGGGCAGGCTCTAGTTGTCTTCCAGGATACTCCCCCTCGATGCACACCACACGGCTCTCCACACGGTGGGCATTCGATATGGGATGATAATGGAAAGGTGGCTCCCTTCTCCTTCCTCTGGGAGGGGGTGGTATCACTGTGCAACAGATTAGGTCAGAGAAGAGGGGCACAGCAGAGAGCAACAGGGGAGAGATGCTTAATCATTTCCTTATGAGTCATTTCATAGCAGAGCCCCCTGGACACAGAGGGAGGCTGGCCTAGATGTCCCCTTAGATGACTCAGTAAGCAGGTGACCTCTTCAGAGCTAGTCGTCACCTGGCAAACTGTGAGAGGGTGGCAGAGAGGGAAGGAGGTGCCTTGATGCCTAGGCAGGAATACTGGCTGAGCCAAAGTCCTCCCTGAGAGCCAGCTCAGGCCTGTGACCATCCTGGCAGAGGGGGCAGGCTGGGGTTGGGGGCTGAAAGGTGAAGGGGTGGGTAAGGGCATGGTGGGCAGAGCGTATGGTGGCCTCAGCTCCGCTCCAGGAATGAGTGGCCAAGGCCAGGGTTGGGGGTTCTGGGAGGTGATCTCCCAGGAAAGAGACTTGTGAATGAAGTGCTAATAGGAAAAGAATTACCCCAGAAGCTCCAGGGCAACTCTCCCACATGGGGGTGACAGGGCCAGCCCAGGAGGGCCAGTCAGAGGCAGGAAGACCAGCATGCAAGTGCATTCAGGTCCCAGGAGGGTCCCACCCCACAGGACCCCGCCTTCCCCAGCCCCAGAGCAAGGCTGCCCTTCTGGGCAGTGCTCCCTTAAGGCACCAGGCTGCATCTCCAGGCTTACTCCTCCTGCCTGGGCCCCTTGTGCCAGACACCACAACTCCCCAAGACCTATTGCCAACCCCATTCAGCCCCAGTCTATTTCCTCACCGCTCCTGACACCCCCAAGTCTCAGTCACACTTTCCTCCCATGCCGGTGAGCTCAGGAGGACACTGCCTCCTAAGGCGTCAGGACACTCTATGGCTCCCACCGGACGGAAGCAGCCGGGCCTGGAGCCAATGGGACAGCCACCTCCCCTGCCCACTCACCAACTCTAAGCTTCTTACCTTCATGGTGGGAGGCGCAGTGAGAGGAGGGGACAGCGGCCGGTCTGGGAAGGTCACATCCGAGCTGTTGGCCAGCTCCTGCTTCCTGTGAAGAGGCGACAGAAGAGATGAGTGAGAGCCTGCCTGAGCCAGTCCCTCTCTCTGCCAAGAGCAGCTGGCCACGGGGACCCGGTCTAACACACACTGCGTGAGACCAGAGTGGCATGCATCCTCTGCTGGGATGTCCTAACCCTAAAGCGGGGCTATTCGATGTGTGGTTCCTGCCCCAGCCACATCAGCATCCCCTGGGAACTTGTTAGAAATGCAAATACTCAGGCACACACCAGAGTCTCCAGCCACGGGGCCTGGGAATCTGGGTCTTACGGTCCCTGCAGGCAATTCTGACGGACACTGAAGTTGGGGGGCCACCACTCTAATGATATACGGGACCCACAACGCCTAAGGGTCTCCAAGGCACCAACAAATGCTTCCAGGCATCAAAGTAAACTGTTTTAGCACAACAGCAAAGTTTGACATGGTGGAAGATAACTAGGCCCTGAAACCATAGCAATTACCATTTATCATGAAGTATTTTCATTTGTCACAATGATAGCGATTAATAAAATACTGTACATCTATACATTTAGGAGATGTATTTCAAATACATTTGAATTTAAGGACTAACAAAAAGAGAGAGACAGAAGAGGAGCATAAACGTTTGTGAGTCATCCTTCCTGGGTGCCCTTGGCCCCTACACGCACACACATACACACATATGCGCTCACGTGCACACACTCACTCACGTGCACACCACGGCCAGAGAGCTGACCTCTGCAGGATGGGGCTGCCTGCTGTGTAAGCTGCAGGTAGAACTAATTTTAGTCCATGTGGGCTAGGACCGTGGAGCAGCAGCTAAACAGAGTTGTGTCACCATGACAACATGACTGTGACAAGTTCACTGCTCTCACACGCTCCCCACTTGCCATCTGGCCCTTGCTGGTGACCAGGGAGTGCTAGTTCGCAGTCTGATCACCAGGCACAGTGTCTGCAGTGGGATAAGCCTTGGAGCAATGATTATGCAAAGGGCCAGCTGGGCAGAACCTGGGGGAGGCCCCCTGAGGGGTGGTGTCTTTGACAAGCCCCAGCTGTCTCCCGGGACAGCAGCAAGAGGTGAGTATTACGGGCCCAAGAAGACCAAGCTGGGCCTTCAAAGCTCCCAACTCTGCAACTGTGTCCTTCCCCGGAAGCAGCCAAGAGGGTAAGCGTGACACCTGGGTCACACTTACATGACTCAAGGACCCCACTGCCACCTTGACAGAATGCTTCTGTACTTTCCAGCCCACATCTGGCCACAGGGATGACAGCCCCAACCCCAAGCCTCCTTCATGAGAGAGGCCTGGTCTCCCCACGGAGCCTGGCCTCCGCCTTTCCGGAGGCAGCCCTTGCCCTGAGAGCCACACACCACCTCCGCCTGGCTCCCCTCAGCCCACACGGTAGGCCCAACCTAAAAGAAACCAGGCCAGGGGCCGCGGGGCCCTGTGTCCCCTGGCAAGACCCTTACCTGCCCCTGTAGCCAGCCACGCCTCGTTCTCACCAGGCGACCAGAGAGAGGGGCTGAGGGAGCATCCTGGCAGGGGACCCACAGGACCCCATTAGCCTCAACCTGCTGATCCCCCTTTCTGATCCTCCATTTGCCTTCCTCCTCTTGTCTTCCTGGACTGAGTCTCACTCTGAGGGCGGGAAAGTTGGGGGGCCCCTCCCTCCGAGTCCAGGCTACAACCGGCACAGGAATCATCTGGGGCCACGACTCGGCAGGAGTGCGTGTGCACACGCACATAACACACACACACACACACACACACACACACACACACACACACACCAAGGGATGAATGAGGCTCCTTCCACCTCTCAGAGCCGCTGCCTCCCCTTTGTGGCCTTGGACCAGTGTGGGGTCCAGCTCAACTGCTCTGGCCCTCACCTGCCTGTGGACCCCACAGAGCTGAGTCCCAGCACAGACTCACCCCTCTGGCCACTGCTCCTCAATGGGCCCAGCCCCTAAGAGCCATGATAGGAGAAACTGAGAGGGGGAAAGATGATCAAGGATGGGGGCACCACCCTCGGGCCCCCTGAGGTGACAACGGACAAGGGCAGCTCCCCTCAGGGGCTGGGAGCCAAGGAGGAAGAAGCAAGCCCCCTCCCCAAAGTCTACAGGCCTTCGGGGGTTAGCTGAGGACCTCTAGACTAGTGCCCTGGAGGAAGCTGTGGCAAACTTGCCTGACAGCAGCTGGAGTTCTCTGGGGACACTAATCCTAGATTAGGTCAGCTGGTCAAGGGACGCTCGTATACTAGTCACTCGTCCACTTCTCTCCCTAAGGCACATGCCGTCCTCTCCCATGGGCCCAGAGCAGACCTGATTATTACCCAAGGTCCCTGAGTCTCGGGCAAAGGACCACTGCACCCAACACTCCTGGGCTGAGCCTCCCTTCCCTGCACCAGCCCATTTTCCCTGGATGCTGCAATAAGCCCCTGGGCCCAGTTTCCAGGGAGTGGTGAGGAAAATCCAGGAGGAGCACAGGGCGTCTTCCAGCCAGAAGGATTTCCTGAATGGTGTCTGGAGCCTGGAAGGTGCTGGAGCAGGAATGAGCACCAGGGGCTTGCAGCCTCGTACCAGTTCCGGCCTCTGTCCGAGATGCGAGCCGGGATGCCCGGGGCGGGGGGGAGGAGGCAAGACCGCTGCTCTCAAAAAGATCCGAACTGATGAGGCGCCTGGGTGGCTTAGTCGGTTAAGCTTCCGACTTTCCGACTTTCGCTTAGGTCATGATCTCGCGGTTCGTGGGTTCGAGCCCCACGTCGGGCTCTGTGCTGACTGCCAGCTCAGAGCCTGGAGCCTGTTTCAGTCTGTGACTCCCTCTCTCTCTGACCCTCCCCTGCTCACGCTGATTCTCTCTCCTAGAAATAAATAAAACATTAAAAAAAAAAAAGATCCGAACTGAGAGTACATTCAGGCCCCTGGTCGAAATCGACCCTGCCCTGATTGGTATACCGATGGCTCAAGTGGTCTATGGGAAGGGATGGGACACTGGCCCCTTCCCCATGCTCAACTCTGAGGAGCCAAAGGTACTTAATTAAGAACCACCCGCCTGTTATGGGTTGAATCATGTCCCCCCAAACAATATACTGAAGTCCTAACCGCCAGGCCCCATGAACGTGTCTGTATTTGGAGATGTAATCAAGAGACCCTTAGGGCCGCCCCTTAATTCAACCTGGCTGGTGTCCTTACAGGAGAAGGCGGCCTTACAGGGAGAACGCCACGTGACAACAGAGGCAGAGACTGGAGGGATGTAGCGGGTCGCCAGCCACTGCCAGAAGTTGCAGGAGGCAAGGAAGGAGTCTAGCCCAGAGCCTGCAGAAGCAGCAGGCCTGACAACTTGATTCTGGACTTCCAGCCTCCAGAACAGAGACAACAAAGGTCTGCTGTCTTAGGGGCCGGTCTGTGGCACTTGGTTACAGCAGCCCTGGGAGACGAATGTGCTAACCAAGTCCCAGGTGCTAGCCTTGGCCCTGTAATTAGAGGACCAAAATCAAAGACAATGAAATCCCCGCTTCGGAGTCACCAACCCTGCCATGGTCAGCAGGGCTCAACCTCGTCCTGCCCCCGCTCTCACAACCAGTGACATTCGTGTGGGAGCCACCTTCCCAGGGACAGCCGGGCCCAGCCTGGTCACCAGCTGGTGCTGAGATAAGGCAAAGTCAGAACTTTGGTGCTCAGTGCCATTCCACGCCTTTCTCAGGCAAACAAATCATACAGAAGTAGGTGAAAGTGACACGACTGTACCAAGAGATAACCTTCAGTCTGCTCTCATTTATTAGAAGCATAAGGCAAATTATTAGCAGAGGTACGGTCCTTACTATTATTCATAACAACTTTCTTGAGACCCACAGTAATCCTGACATTGCCGTGGCACTGAAACTGCATCACTGACCAAGCCAGCCGAATGTTCATACACAGCTCTGATGACATGGGACCCATTGGGGGCAGGGGGGAAGGAGAACAAAGAGGGAGCAGATGGGAGAGGAAGAAGATTAAACAGTCAGCTAAAAGAGAAAGGTAAAAACAGGCATGCAGGGGAGGGTCCGGGGCCTCCTCCAGCCTCGAGGGGTCCTGGAGGTGCTACCCCCTCGTCATCCCTCTGCCCCAGAACCACCTGCCACTGAGGGTCTCTGCCCTGGGATTCCTTCCCCAGAAGCATGGGCGACCCCGGGGCAGCTGGGAGAGGGCCTGGCTGGCTTTAGCCAAATGCGAATCTTGGGAGGAGTGATCAAGGGACCTTTAGGAGAAGCTGAGAAAGCCAGGACATGGGTCACTACATGGGACTACTCATAGGGCACTGGACACACCCCAGGAGGGGGCCCTACTTACAGCACCCAGGCCTCCAGCTCCTCCCCATCCAGCTCCAATTTCTCTGCCCTAGTCCATCCGAGGCCACTGCAGCCACTGTGAGCCCCGCCCTTCTATGAAAGTGCCCTACGCTTGGGATCAAGAGACTCCCGGGTTCCGGTCTGGCTCCGCCTGCCACTCCACTGCCTGACCTTGGGTAGGTTACCTCACCTCTCCACATCTGCAGAGATGGGGGTGATGATGTTCTGAGGAGTTAACTGTAACAGCTGTGAAACAAAACATAAAGTCCTTCACAATGTAGACCATTGTCATTACCATCATCTTTATTGTTACTATAACCCAGACAACGGTGATCTGGTCTCCAAGTGGAGAGAGAAGCAAGGGCCCAGGACTGTTTAATGCCTTTGAAAACATTTCTGGCATTTCAAATAAGCACCCATGCTAGCCCCAGGGATCTACTCTCAGGATCATAACCACTGGTTAATAATCAACAACAGGAAAAGCATTCACCTATCAGCAGATGGCTCTGGGGCCAGGTTTAAGCCTTCCTTCTGGCAGAGAGTTCTCCCAAACCTACAAACCCCCTTGGTCTGCATCTCTTACCCCACCACATCCCCGGCCACCCAGCCACGCTTTGCTCTGCTTTCTACCGTCTTCCAAATAGCCAAGCTGGAGCAATGCAGACAGTGGGCCACTTAAGAAGC